GCCAATGGCCAAAGAAAAAGTCAGATAATGTATTTCATAAGCCAACCAATGTGTAAGGAACAAGAATTTGAGTTATCAAAAATACGTTTTTAACTATCATTCCAAAGTCCAAGAACTTATTAAGATCCAAAATTCAAGAAATTATACACTTCAATGACATCTAAAAAATAAAGTATATCAATGTCCTCAAACATGAATCTCCACTTTGCGAAGAAGATTTGTTATTACATATTGTACTCTGCAAGTATTCAGCTCTTCAAATCGACAGCAAATATTGGGCGTACATTCCAGAAATAAACCAATTTTTGGCCGTTTTCCCATCACTTGAGATCGTAACAATTCTTCTCGAAGACTCCATAGAATCAAGAACTTTACAGGGTATACTTATGATAAAAGCAGCCAGAGAGAAATTCATCTTTCAACAAAAATCTCTGATTTTCGAAACCAATTCTAATTAGAAGTAACGATGTTTTCTTATATTTTGACCTCAACAGTTAATCTTATGATTCTTCCTTCTTGAAGGTGGGATAATAGGTCATCTCAAAACATTTGAGATGACCTATTATCTAATTAGAAGCTTATTCATCACAGTTTTTCCAAAGCAAACTCCGGACCTCAGCATTAAACTAGAAAAAATTGAACCTATAAAAACTTTCTTCTAATCCCATAGTCAAATTGAGCAAGTTCACCCACCCAATTTATGTACAACCAAGTATATCGACAATGCTCTTTAAATTATATTCCCTGTAATAATAATATTGTTTATAGTGATGTTTTATTCACAAAGAAAATAGATAATCATTAGTAATAACCATCCAGATGGATTAGAAATGTAAGGCAAATAATGTATGTATAAGGCAAATTTTGTAAGTATTAAGCTTCATAATATCTATAGTTTATCCTTTCCATTGTATAAACCTCAATTTTAATATCTACAAATGTAAATCGACAATTCATTTCAACTTAGATCATTTTGACTCATTGTAAGTAATTCTAAGGTAATAATTGTAAGATTCCCCAGGGATCCTTGCTCTTAAGAAGGGAGGTTTCATAGTTATAAACTATCGTAGTTATTGATTAGGATTCGGGTTGTGGTCTTCAAACATACAATGTTATAATAACAATAACCAAGCCTTCGACAAGTTTTATTGTCTTCTTCAGGGGACTCCTTTGTTGGTTTGTTAATTTTAAAAGTAATTATTATTGTTTATGTATGAAAGAAATTAGTGAAGAAGAGATTTTATATATATGACGAATTTGTGTAACAGGTTTAAGTTGTGACTTCGTATTTGTAAGTAGCAACAAATTGACGAAATAATTTATAACTACCTAACTATGTCCCTATGTCTCTGTAGATGCCCTGAAGAAGACAATAAAACTTGTCGAAAGTTTGGGCGTTGATATAGTAACATAAGTTTGAAGACTACACCCGAATCCTAATCAACATCGTATTGAAGGCTGGTTGATCGCATAGCAAACATTATCGTAGTTATAACTAACAGTGCGTAATAAATAAAGTGTATAGTTGTACCCTCTCTCTCCTTCTAGAAGTATGCTTGTTTCCTTTGCTCTTCAATCTACCTATTATTATGTTATTTGCTGTAGTCGAGGGGACATTGATAATAGTAATCAATTATAAAAAAACTTTAAAAAACGTCAATGATGGGTAGTTTTTTTATAACTTATATAATAATGTGTGGTGTTTAGTGACCGTTAGTCAATGATTATTCGGAGATCGTGATGCGGACTGGTGGGACGTAGTTTTAGAAAAATTCACTCTCAACACGACACACTAAAATGACATATCTACAAACAAAAAAAAAACTTTGAGCCCTGAAGATGATTTCAATAAAGATCGAAACGTTGGCACGACAAAGAAAATGTTTTTCTAAAACTCATGTCACACCAGACCGCCTCTCACGATCTGCGAATAATTATATAATTATGGTAATAACTATTACACAAGTGTTTTTCTTTAGAGCGTATGTACGGTCAAGAAAGGGTACAAATAACAGATCTTAAGGCTCAACACGAAGGCGGATAATGACGCTTTTTCCAAGTGTTCTAACGAAATATTAAAAAAAACAACTTTATCCACGGCCATATCACATTATTACACAGTTTGCTCATCTTCCGTAATGGAAAAACTTGGTGTATTTTGTGAAGTTATTTCCCCGTCCGCTGTTTCCCTTTTTCAGAGGGGGCGTTAAGGAACGAAGGCAAGACCTCGAATATCCCATCAAATTAGGGTAATTGGCACGAGACAATTAGCGGTCGAAAAGTTTTTGAAGTTATCGACTTGTTGTGGCCTATTCCGTAGCATTATTTTCAGATTTCTTTGGCGACGCCAGGCTTACAACATTCACGCTTAATTAAAACTGCATAACGGGCTAAGCGCACCAAAAATGCTAAATATTGAAAAAATAACACGTTCAATCTCATACTGAAAGAAATTGGTTATTGTTTTGAAGTCGAAAGGGAATTTTTGTTTAGGTTTTCCATTTAGTTGACAGGTGGTGCAAAAGAGAGGTGCGAAATAACGATTCGTTTTACAAGGAAGAGGACAACAGGACGTGAAACTCATACCCTAGACTGGACCTGGATTCCATTTTCCTCGAAGTCCAAATATCTAACATGGAATCAACACATAATTAAAACCACGCAAAAAGCCAAAATTGCCTGGGGAAGGTGCAGAAGGCTCTTCTCCAAAAACTGAGGATTAAACCCCAAAATGACTCAGTGGCTATATACCTGCGTCCATCAATGGTGATATATGGGTCGGTGATGGGCGGTCCAAGACTCCTTAGGCCATAGTAATTAAGCTATTAAGTGGCACCCAAAGACAAGCTTGTTTCAGTATCACTGGAGCTATGAGCACTAGGATGCCTTGGAAGTGTTTTTAAACCTCCCATCACTTTATATTTTAATTTAAGGAGAAGCCAGAGCAGCTGCCCACAAGCTCACAAATGGACAATCATCTGCAAGGATAGGCCATGTAAATAAACAATGGAAACTGAGGGAGGAGATGAAGGCACATGCCATATTAGGCATGCCAATCGATGCCACTTCTCCAAAATACAATATTATAAAAAGTACAAGGTACTGCTACCAGAACTGAAGAATGGGTCAAAGTAACACCGCTGAAGGTAAATTTCTACCGGTACACACTGACGTCTTCAAAACTGAGAGGGCACCGGGGCTGGGCTCGTCGGGATGAATCCAAAGACCGAACTGACCCTAAATATGTAAATATGTTACAGTTTTCCGTCTGAAATCATAGCGATTGAATATTGCACCAGGGAGATAAAGAGGAATACAATCCCGGAAGATAGCCGTCTTCTCTGACTGGCTGACAGAGGAGGTAAAGGCAAAACGTGTTTGGACCACCAGGAGCCCTTTCGGAAGTCAGCGACACTACTGGCCTGACTCTGCCAAGGGTCCCTGGGTATTCGGGGCTTAGAGACCATGAAAAGGATGACATATTGGCCTCAGAAGGTGCCAAAATTGACTCTCTAGGTCCCAAACCCTGCTGTGGGCTAGCAACGTGCCAAAAATGAGGATACATTCTAAAATGGATTCTTAACGAGTCCAAAGTTTAAAGAAATTATACCTCAGGAATGAGGTACGCGAAGAGATTCATAGAAGGGCCATCCGGAAAAATTACAAAGGAATTAATGGAAGAAAGCCCCAACCGAACCAGGATTCTCGTTGTGGACTGCTGACAGGGCACTGCCTCCTAAAAAGGCACAGGATTACGTACAGAAGAAACACTGTACAGATACTGCCAGGAAGAGGAGGAGACCTAAAAACACATTTTTTGATTTGTAATGGTCTATGCAGGTCCAGATTTTTGCAAATAGGGGAGGAAAAGTCGGAAGCATGATTCTACACTAATGAGCCGTTGGCAAGACTATGGAGGTTGATCAACAATCTGAAGCTGACCGGTAAAAGCCGGTTCTTTTATCCCTAACCCTATCTTTATCCATTTGGTTTATCCTACTTAAGCACACAAATATTTTTTGGGGAGTTATTTAAAAAAATATAGTTCATGAAAATTTTACACCCTTAATGAACTTGGAGGAAATAACACATGGTGTTACAGAGGTTTCTTCTCAATTAAATACTCAAACTATTCCGCAATATACGGATGTTGAATATACAAAATGATTGGGTTACTTAATCGAAATGCGGGCCAAAAGCTTTGATTAGTTGTTGTGAGTTTTCTCATGTGTTCACAATACATATAGAAAGTAGTGTGTAATTGAAGCGTATATTTATAAAATAATACGTCTAATCTTCGCGAACAAAAAAAAATTCTTTTCCAATCCTGTAGAAATTTTAAATGACATTTTAAACAATTATTTTATTTAAAAAAAGAATTTAAATTGTGTTTTTTTCGTAATTTGTTTACTACTTTACAAAGCGCTCAGAGTTTTTGTAAAATACCAATCAAATGAATCAAGTGGGCAGATGTAAAGAGACAAATCTTTTTAAAAAAAATCTTTTTGTAGTTCTTTGTATTTGTGAGAGAATGGCTCCAACCGACCTAGTGAACTTTCTTTTGTTTTAGCCTTTGAATGGTCTCCGGCCACCATTAGAAGGTCCCGGTTGGCCGCAGATCCCACTTTCCATCGAATCGTACCAGTGTAACGTTTCCTCTTCATGAAGAGTGGATTCCATTTTTTTCCTACCCGCCACTATTAAGAATATTTTTTCCGAGCGGCCCTTGTCGAACTACTGAAGGGAAAAAAGTGATCCCGCTTCGCGTTTCGCTCAAAAGAACCGAGTCAATAAAAATCCCCCATTGTGTTCGACATTCTACAATAGGAGGCTTAAACACGAAGTAGAGGCGAACTCGGTAATAATAAGAATCTCTTGAACTGAAATTGTCTTCTCGGTGGAAGGATTTTTTTCGTTGTTACAAGTTTTCCTACATCGGTCGAAAACGTCGAGATATGTGGGCTTACAATTTTTAACTTATTTTACAACCTAGTGGGTACCTTGCGGGCTTTGAGACGAGGGAGGAAACGGTTTGAGGAGAATCGTATTCGCCAGAGGTTGGACCGGGTTTTCTTTCTTCTTTTCTCTTCTCTGCTGTCGTCTGTACTTCCAAAGCCTGTACTTTTTTATCAACCGTCTCTTCCCACGCCTGAACAGATGGGCCAAGTACCTGAAATGAAAATAAATATTTAACTATTTTTCTTATTCGCCAATTTAATAATACGCATGAACCAATGAAAATAATACAGTAGAAACACTGCAATAAGTTAATTCGCTTTCACAGCGGGAGTGTCAAACTAAATATACATAAGCAATTTAAGTTTTAAATTATAAATTATGTTTCATTAAATGAGTACTAACGTACTTTAAATGGGTAAGTATTACTTCTAGGCCGAAAAAAATTAAACATCTTTGTAATTACGAGCAAGATATAAGTAATTAGTGCGTGAATAAATTTTATTATGATTTTATGATCCTATAGAATTATATATTACAAACAATATTACACATGTAAATTTTTTTTACAAGCATTAAAAACCGAGTTTAAAAGAAATCTTTTGGAAAAAAAGAGTGCACTCATGTTTCCAATATCTTTTGAATATTAAATATTAAGTCTGTTAATAATTTCAAATAATTTTTCTTTTTATTTAAGGCCTTGGATGAGATGAAAAAAAATGAATTGCAATAATTAATATGGAAATAACCACCAACACTAACACATCTGTGATTACTAATAATACCACATCAAATCTACCAAATACAGACAAACATACATTTCCATGCCATTCATTCACGGCCCCACATAAATTCAACACATTTCTATCTTCTAATAACTTTAAAATAGCTTTCAAAAACTATAAAACTATTCACACACTTTTTTCCAAAATTAAGGAATTATGTTGCTTCGATGACATTGTTTAATTTTTTGACTGCAAATCTGGTGCAATTGCAAAGACGGGTGGGTCACTGTTTCTGAGAAGAATGATGGGAACACCAACCCTCAGATTAATGATGTGTGGTGGAGATCCAGATAAATCGAGTAAATTTAAGTATTCAGTTGGATAATTTACTCCTTCATCTTGATCTACATCAGAATCTATTGATTCGTAAGTAGCTGTTTCTCCTGGTAACATATTAATGAAATAGATATCCAAATGTTTTGCAGCTCATGTTGCATGTTCACTTAACGATTGATGACTTTTGTAATCTACAAATACGCGTTTACCAATTCTTCTTGTCAGTGACTGATAATGTAAAAATTGTTTGGCAATTTAATCCAGCTAGTTGTTTCTGCAATTCAATTTTTTCTATTTCTAATATCCCACAATTGTAAAGCAAAATTTTCTGTACAAAGATCGTTTTGTAATTAAACACGTATGTTTGCTACTTTCAGTTATAGTAAACACTGTGCTTACAAAAGTACGAATCATCATGTTAAAAGAAACATAAATCAAATGTACATAAACATTTATTTAGAAACCGTGAGATGCGATCTGGTGTGATGTAGGTTTCAGAAAAACATTTTCTTTATCGTGCCAACGTTTCGATCTTTATTGAGATCATCTTCAGGGCCTGGAATTTACAAATATTGTTTGCATATAACAATTTTGGATGTGGAAAAGTGAATTTAAATGCAAAATATATTTTTTATATATTCAATCAAAGTATTTCTACTCACTCAAAGTGTTTGTCTTCTGTGTTATTGTGTCATTCTTGCGAGTCGTGTCGAGAGTGCCAGTGAGATTTTGCAATTTTGTGTTTATATACGTTGGATTTTGAGGGGGTGGGGAAGGATGTCGGTACAGGAAAGACATTTTTGTATAAGGCGTCGGCTTCTTTAAGGTGAAAGGAGCCGACGAAGGGAAACAATGTGTTGGTAATGGCTCGGCCAGATTATCCTTTCTAAATTGTTGGGAAATTAGACTATGTGAAAAATATTTGTTGTGTACGCATCGGACGAGAGAAATCTGTTTAATTTATGTGATAGGCCTTGGATAAATGACATGGAAATGTATGCTGGTTTGTTTGTATTCGATAGACTTAATGTAGTATTATTAGTAATAGTGGACGGTGTGAAACCTACATCACACCAGACCGCATCTCACGATTTCTAAATAAATATCGATTAACGGTCACTAATCACCACACGTTTGTCCATAAACAATTTAGACAGACTTCTACTGATACGCACAAAAAAAATTATAGTTAATTTGATAATTGAGGATCAGTAGACCATAACTTTAAAAGGGGTGAATGCGTTTTTCGTTTATTGAGTTTCCTCGGGGCGGGGTCGGCCTGTTCTTTAGCCTGACAACGAGGGTTGTTTTGGACCCGCAGAGGGCGTGGGACTGTAAAGGAAAACCCAAATGAAATAAACCCCTCTTGATTCTTGACCCGTAAAAAAAGGGGTTCGCCGAAAGAAGGTAAACCGTTGATTCAGAGGCCCTGTTTTCGTCACGATGATTTTTTAAGGAAAAGACTGTCGCCAATTTTGCAAAAGCGAATCATACTGCGAAAACTGCCACTATTATTTTACTTGAAAACACAAGTTTATCTATTATATCGACGGAAATAAATTTCCTGATGCGTATTGTCTTCCACCTGTTGAAGATAGCGCAAACTGAGCTCTGTTGAGACGAAGGACGTCCGTCTAAGGGCAAACAACGAATCGAGTCCTTCCGTTTTTCTGTCATTCAATATTTTATGATGTTTCTTTTAACATTGTTTATATAAAATAATGGTTTATTTCGTTTGTTTTCCATTTGAAAATAATCATATCATCTGATCTTTCCATAATGAACGTAATTTTATTGGCGAGGTTTCACAGATTATATTATCTTCCTTAACGCAATACCAACTTTGATTAGTTGAATAAATATTTTATATGATGGTGGTCTCTCTCAAACGCATTCTGAGCTATTCGTTTATTGACTATTTTTACAAAACTATTCGTTTATTAGTTGTTATGCGTTCGAGTACGAACGCTAGTTGTTTGTTGAAATATATTCAATCATGAATGCTTTAACAAGTTAACAATATCACGTTTCTTTTCTATATTAAAAAAAGATGGAACAATGCGACCCTTCTTGGTGTTGTGTTCTTACCAAAACGTCGTTGTGCCTGAGAGACCTACAATTTTTATAAATATTATTGTACCACTGGTCGTTTATTATATATTCACCCAAAATATGTTATCATCTCAAAATAACCAAACTTATTATTTTATGTAATGTGTCTTAAGGACATGATAAAAATGTTAAACATATAATTAATAAGGAAGAAGGCAGTTTTTTGTTTTAGTACTTTAGTTTGTTCTCTACCATTTTAAGTAGCTTTTTAAATACTTTTTTTTAGGGTATCCGACTGTTTGATCATTTCAGCCCCGAGCGCATGCGAAATACCACACACTCCCAACACGCACTCACACAAATAAATACATTTCCACCTGAGTACATTGCATTATTCTAGTTATTAGATGGAGTACTCAATGTTCCTCCATCAACCTGCGTACAATAACAAACTAATTTAATTGGGGTCGATGGGGTACTTTTATAAATATTCCGCCATCGACCCAAGTCACGTACACAGCTTGAAGAAAATGCTTTTTAAAAAGGTAGTTCCTACTCACAGTAAGTTGTTTTCAACGATCCGGATTTCGAGCTTTTAGCTCATCATCAGGTTGAAGGAGTTCTGCAACCACGTCTCTCGACATGAATTGCAAAAAGAGACGTGGTTGTCGAACTTCTTCAACCTGATGATGAGATAAAAGCTCGAAATCCGGATCGTTGAAAACAACTTACTGAGTGGGAACCATCTTTTTAAAAAGGACTGAACACCGCACACCACACCATTCATCATTTCTATACAGCTTGAGGGATGCTATTTCACTGTCAGCCCCTCCCCATTCACTCTAATAAATACGTATGGTGTTTAGTGGCTGTTAGTTAATGATTATTTGGAGATGGTGAAATGCAGGCCTTGAAGATGATCTCAATAAAGATCGAAACGTTGGCACGATAACGAAAATGTTTTTCTTAACCTACGTCACACCAGACCTCATCTCACAATCTCCAAATAATCTAATAAATACACTCACTCATACAAAACACAGAAACACAAAACATATATTTTGAGGCCATATACAATAAAAATTTACAATTCCACTAAAAAGTGGAACAGGGTACCCTGATGTTGTTCTATATATTTGTAATTTGGAAAGTTTAAAGGCCATCAAACAGCTGAGGTCATCGCCGGTCTTCTGCGTGGGTATATATCTTTCTCTAATCTTTCAAGCGTATTTTGTTTTTAAACTGCAGCCATTTCAGGTCTCGATCTGGTAACAGACTCTCTGCTTTTATAAGTCCATATCCTAAATTGTTTTACCTCTCTTTTGCACTCCTATTCTCAATTACACTAGATATACAAAACATACATACATCATCAACCTATTCAAACGTAGAAGTCTGGTCATTCACGCCCCCAGACTAGTCGATATTCCTCGGGACGGGGTGGAACAACACCTTTCTTTGACGATAATAACTTACTTTTACTCTCCTGATCACACATTCACCCCAGAGTACTTGCGATTTCTCGTAGCGGGGTTAAACAATCTCTTCCTTTCACGCTAATAAATTACATTCATTCTGTAGTTATAAAATCTAGAATGTTACAATTGCAGTATAAGTTTTAGATTTTATTTTGTATAATTCGGCACGGAAATGATAATTTTTTTGAAATGAATGTAAAATATATCTACTTATTTTCAGAGCATTAAATGATAGCCAAGAAAAAATAGGAAACATTTTTTGAGTGTTGCATCGCTTCATGACAATTTTTTTCCCTGACTCCAATACTTGAACTAAGGATTATGAGCAGGATGAAATTGTTTTACTTAGCTCCAAATGCTTCAAGCTCTGTTGGGTCAAATCAATTCGACAGCGTTTGTACGCAACAACTTGCCTTCATAATTAAACTATGCCATGAAATTAGTTTTCAGTGAATTAGGTAGTGCAATTTGCACGCCAAAGCTGAGTTACAAGAGCGTGGAAGTTTCCACTATTGATCCTTTCTTGGAATAACTAGATACTAGAATTTAATTACTATAACTAATTTTATCAAAAATTATTTGTCTTAAATACTGGAATTTTAATTAATAAAAACCCTTAGTTA